TGAGGAACATGGGCAGCCAGGACCCCAGGCCGGGCGGGGGCACTGGTCACCGCCAAGGGTTAATACAAATCAAAGTTTTGCCAAAATCTTCCCGCGGTCACACAGCAGCTCTGCTCGCTCAGAAAAGCAGGCGCGAACGTTCCACCAGATGAGCAGCAAGAGGGAGGGCCGAGCGGGCAGCGGGCCGCGGCCCCACAGCCCCCACCCAAAGGGGCTGCGGCTACTTTTTGAAGCATGGACATGAGCTGAAGGACAGGTGCACTTTCCAGAGGAACGGAATTTGCCAGCTGGAAGCTCTCGGGCCCAACCCTGTCCCACCTTTCACTGTGCAGAAATTCGAAGAAAGGAGGGATTTGCCCACGTTAAAGGCATTTGCCCTCAGAGCCTGAGACGCACAAGCACAGCTATGGGGAGATGTTGGGGGGTCGCGACCGCCAATACCTGTCAGACGGGAGGGACGCGCCCCGCGGGAGACGGCCCCCGCCCCCCGCCTCTGCGGGTCCGCCCCGCCTGCCACCGCACACCTGTTCCGAGCCCGAGCTGGGGCGAGGTGACGCGACGTGGGACCACGTGACACCTGTCTGGCTCACAACACCCCCAGTTTCAGTTAACGCCACAGTCTCTCGGGGCAGCACGAAGGACGCGCTGACGCTTCCAGGGCCTGACCCGCCTTCTCTCAGCCAGCCCCCGCGGCGCTCGGTGAAGAAAGCCCATCGCCCCGAGTTCACGTCAGCGAGAAATCAGAGCGTCCGTGTCACCCGTTCTCACTCCAAGACAAACACCAAGTGAAGGCGTGTTAGCACAGCGCCGGCGCGTCCCGAGGCTGCCCGCCGAACCGAGAGGCAAAGTCTGTCCCCAGGAGAAATCAATATTGATTTGAAATAACCATGACTCAGTTTAGGCTTTGAGGGCTCCCTCCCGGCCCCTGCACCCCCGCGCCCCTCCAGTCCCCTCTCTGCCCTCTTCCACGCGCGCGTCCCCGATGCGTCCCCGATGCCGCAGCGCGAGCTCCGCTTCCCCGCGGCTGACTTCCCAAGCCAGGGGCCTGAGCGCAGCGTGTGTGCCCCAGGCGGACTCCCAGAGGCCATTTTAAAAGCCGCTCTTGCGTCAGCTTCCAGTAAATATTTCCCACAATTTCTTGGAAAATGTTTTATCAGCAGAGCAGCAAGTGCCGAGCCGTGCCCCCCGCTGAGTGCCAGGAGGGCTCTTCGCGGAAGGAGTGTAAGGAATGACTGACTTCGCCTTCATTCTCTGTTGGAAACGCGCCGGCTTCCCCGCGCGCGGAAAGCGCCGAGACACAGAGGCGGCGGGAAGAACACCGGGATTTTGATCAACGCGCGTTTGGGGTTTATTACTCTGAGATCAGACAAAACAGTTCCTCATATACTTTGTTTATGTGAATGTAGAAAAATCCAAAATCTTGTAGGATATCTTTTAAAGTTCCAGTTTTGAGAGGATTCTCTTGATTTATCCAGAAGTTGTGAAAACTAACAGAGATTCCTTTATGTTCCTCACTCGCTTTTCATGGTAACATTTTGCTAAACTCAACACACTCGCTCAAGCGGGAAACGGACGCCCGTACAGTTTCCAGGCCTTTCTCAGGGTCACCATGGCACGCCACCGTGTGTGCGTGTGTGTGCGCGCGTGTGTGGGGTTGTACACAGTCTTATCACGCGCGTGCACTCACACGTCTTTCAAATTAAGCAATTTGCTGGGGCAGCTTCACCTCGGAATGGCTTTTGCCGCCACGTCTTTCTCCCAGATTGCATTTCTGCGATCTGGCTTTCTGTTTCTTGGCTAAATAACTTACTCATCTCTTCTGAATTTTACTGCCTGGTTCCCGAACTCCTTGCTAGTGGCGAGTTTCGTATTTGGTTTGCTTTTTACAGCGCCTTTATCCTTTCCCAGGGAAAGACACAAACATAAACAGACATTCCAGCGAGCGCTCGCAGGGCTTTCAAAGACACCAGTGAGAATAGATTAGTATAAATACTAAGCTCAGAAAGTGTCATAAAAGTTCAGCCTTTAAAATTGGCTTATTAAAATATTTGTTTTTTTAAAGCCTGAATTTAAAGCAAGCGCACGGGTTACAGAGCTCTGCTCACGGAGAGTTTACTTTACGATCTCGCTGCCAGGCCGGCAGAAAGGGTCTGGCACCGGTGCCTCTGCCCGGGACAGACACACGGCGCTGAAAACTCAGTTCCTTCAGGCTCAAGACTCGTCTGAAAATCACGCTCGGAAAACCGTGATAAAGCACGCGGGAAATACAAGTCCCCAGGGGCCCTGACGGCCGCCAGCGAGGCTGGGGACCCCGGCCGCCCGGCCAGAGGGGAGAGAGACCTCCCCGGGAGCCCAGGACCCGGCTAACGGGGCCGGCTGGATCCCCGGCTCTCCTGTGGGCGCTCCGGAAGGAAGCTCTCGTTCTCCAAGCGAGCGTCCACCCTCGGCCGGTGTCCCTCCTCGGCCACGCTCAGACGCCGTTCTCCACCGGAACGACGTCCTTTGGGGACCAGCTCCCGTTCTGCACACGGGAACGCTCCCCCGGTCGGGCTGTGAGGCCCGCTCTGTTCTCCAGAGAAACCGAAAGTCCTCAGGAAAAATAGGAGCTTGCTGAGGATGAGAAGCTACTGCGAATCTCGGCAGGCTTTGCGGAAGTCGGGAAGAAGATTTCCTTGACCACCGCGAGAACTAGGAGAGCCTGGAGGTCGGGGCTCGGAGGCCGCCGTCCCTGCCTCACCTAGCGAGGACCCCAGAAACTGCTTCGAGAGTTTTCGATGAGCTGAACCCGCTGAGCGCACAGAAACACCTGATTCATGGGCTGGCTGTGGTTCTGAACACCAGGCCAGAGAGGACAGTCACGTAAACAGCAGCCCAGCCGCACCCAGGGGGCCTGCGCCGAGGGTGCGTCGGCCGCATCGTGCTGCTGCTTCTCTGGACACCGTGTTCCCGTGTGTGAAAAAAGGTCACGTTAGACATGCCAGACACAGACAACTTGGGCCTGTCTGGGAGTTCCCGGCTGAGGGGCAGAACTGACGCTTCTTTTAAAAGTCACCAATAAGCAACAAATCCCTCAGCGGTATTTTCAGAAATCAAATCAACACGGTCACGTCGGGCTCGTGGCGGCTGCAGGGACGGGAGCCGGAAGAACACGGAAGGCCTCGCCCATCCTGCCCCGTGAGGGGAACCGAGTTCTGCCCGGGGTCACAGCAGAGACGTCCCCGCTCCCCTTCTCGGCCGCAGCGAGGGGCGGCTCTGCGGGGGGGACGGTGGCTGTCCCGGCTCAGCGGTGACCCCCGGACACGAAGAGCAGGACGGACGCGGCCCCCGGCTCAGCCCAGCCCGCACCCCCCAACGCCGCACGGACCGTTTCCTCCACAAACTCTTTCATGCATTTTGTCATCTTTCTGCCTCTTATTTTTCAGCAACCTTTTATTTTTCTATAATCCTTCCCTGTGTGTGATTCTCTAGGTTTTAGGAACGTGATTATTTTTCAGTGAGTTTTAAATGACCCTCCTAGATTCCGGCACGGAGGCGGGCATCTCCTGGCTTTCGCTTTCAATAATTTTCTGGAGGACAGGCTTAGCCGTCACTTCTGGTGACGTTTTCGTGAAATAAGCTGCTACGGGCATGTTTGCTGGAAGGTGACTCTCGCCCTGGGGGCCGGGCTCCAGATGGGCTGTCAGCTGCGGGTCAAGGAGTTAACTAGTGGACGCTCAGGATCAGCAGCGAACACCCAGCGTGGACGCGCCCCACCTCTGCAGCGGGCGCCCCCGCCAGCCCCAACTCTCTTGCCCAGAGAAATATGTGATGGAGACACTTTCCATCTGTTTTTGACAAAGACAGGAGAAGGTCCCATAAGCTGTTCGCTGCTGAACATTCTTTTTAAAACCCTACGGCGCGATCATTGTCCAGGGCGCCGTCGCATCAGAAGGGTTTTCGGGGGCACGGAAACGACAACCAGAAAATAAAAATCAAAACCTCGAGTGCACCTGCGCGGGGGAGGCTGGCGCGGCCGGGCGGGCGCCGCGGGCCCCCATGAAGGCGACACAGACCCTTGGGGAGAAAGGGCGCAGCGCCTGGTTAATCTGAATTCCTTCTGTGTGAGGCCGAGGCTCGCGGACACGCTGCAGGCCGGGCGGGAACCTACATCCCACCGAGAGGAAGGATTGTTAACCCACCTCTGCCCCCGCCCCCCCATACCGCGCCCCGCCGGCACCCCGGGGTCTTCCGCAGAGATGCCGCCCGCAGCCTCGGCACGGCCGGCCCGCGCCTTCCAGGGGACCCCGGCCCGGCCGGCCGGGAGGCTCCGGCGCCGCCGCGGGGGACACCAGACCCGCCGGCCCCGCCGCCCCGTCCCGCAACCTCCTCCCAGCCCCGACCCGGCGGGAGCGGCGCGGAGCCCGGCCCAGACCCGCAGGCGCCGGGGTGCGCCCCGCGTTCCGCGCCCGGGCCCTCCACCTGCCTCCCGCAGCCGGGGAGTCCCGGCCGCGGCTCCCCCGTCCTGGGCGAGGGCGTCGGGCGCTCGGGCTTCGCCGGCCCGGGCGGAGCAGCCTGCGCAGGGCCGCGTCCTCGAGCCTCTCCTCGGCGGCCCCGCGCCCCTGCACCCCGCCGCGCCCCTGCACCTCGCCGCGGCCCCGCGCCCCTGCACCCCGCCGCGCCCCTGCACCCCGCCGCGGCCCGCGCCCCTGCACCCGCCGCGGCAGCGCCCCGCGCCCAGCGGGGAAAGCGAAAGCCCGGCCCGCCCCGCCCGCTCGGCGGCTCCGGGCGCAGGGAGCGCAGCGGGTCCCGCCCGGCCGCCGCCGCCCGCCGCCCTCCGCCCCCGCCCGCTGCCCACGGACCCCGGACCCCGCGCCGGGAGCGGGACGCGCGGCCGAGCAGGCGTCGCGGGGCCGGGGCACCCGGTCCGGGCGCCCCGCGGGCCCCGCGCGCGGGGAACCGACGAGCCCCCCGCCCCGCCCCGCCCCGCCCCCGCGGGCGCCGACACCTACCGGGGCGTCCGGCGGGCGCTAGTGGGAGGCGGACATGGACCACGCGCCCTCCATGCGCCACACGGAGAAGGCGTAGCTGAGGCGCTCGTGGGCCACGTAGCTGCAGCTGGTCACCTTACTGTCCATCTCGTCGCTCTGCAGCACCTGGCAGAGGAAGTCTATGTACCTGGCGGCCAGCTTGAGCGTCTGGATCTTGCTGAGCTTGTCCGAGGGCAGCGTGGGGATGATCTTGCGCAGCGCCGCGAAGGCCTCGTTGAGCGACTGGGTGCGCTGGCGCTCGCGCACGTTGGCGAGGATGCGCTGGCTCTGCAGCTCCTCGAGGGACGGCGCGCCCGGGCTGCCCCTGCGGCCGCGCTTGCCGGGCCCGGGGCTGCCGTCCTCGCTCGGCCGCTTCCCGCCGCGCCGCTTCCGGCCGCCGCGCCGGGGCCGCTCGGGCTCCTCCTCGCTGGTGCCCAGGCTGTCCCCGGGGGACGCGGGCGCGCTGGCCGCCTCCTCCATGGCCCGCGCGGGCGGGCGGGGCGCGGGGCGGGCGCGCTCCGGCGCCGGGCTCGGGTTTCAGCGGCGCGGGCCGGGCCGGCGGAGGCGGCTCGACTTTCCCGGAGCCTCGGGCCGCGCGCGGCTAAATAGCTGTCGGGGGAGGCGGCGCTGATTGGCCGCCGCGGCGGGGGCTGGACGAGCCGGGCTCCGCGGCCCCCGCCCCCCGCGCGGCGCTTTCGGTTTTAGCTCCCCTCGGAGCCGGCCCCGCGCCCCCGCGCCCGGCCCGGGCCCCGCTGTGTCCGCGCCCCGGCAGGGCGGCCGGGCTCGCGGGGCCGCGGGGACCCCCGGGGCGGGGCGGGGCGGGGCGCGCGGGGACCCCCGGGGCGCCCGGCGAGCGCGTCTCGGCTGTCCCGGGACGCGCGGGGCGAGTCCGCGCGCGGCCGGCCGGCCGGGGAGGACGCAGGGGCCGGGGTCGGGTCCCCGCGCGGGGCCGGGGCCGGGGCTGCGGGCGCCGGGACACGCGGCTCCGCCCGCGCGCGGGCACCGAGCTCGGGAGACCCTGGGCGGCCGCGCCGCGCCCCCAGCCGGCGCCCCGCGCGCTCCTCTGGGCGCCGGACCCCGGCCTCGCCCGCGCCCCGCCGCCGCCCACCTGCCCGGCCCGCGCCACGGTCCGGTGCGAGAGGCCCGCGCGCCCCGTCGGCGGCCCCGGCCTCCTGCGCGGGCGGGCGCGGGGCGGCGGGGGCGGCCGGGAGCAGCGGGCGCCGGGCGGCCCCGACGCGGTGGCCCCGGCCCGCGCCATCTGGACGCCGCGCGGCCGCGTTGGAAGCGGTTCGGGGGCGCTTTGTTCGCCAGGCGCCCTGGCTCGGCCCGGAGGGTTGACGGCGCGGGCGCCTTTGAACTATCCCCAGGTGACCCGCTCGGCCAGGCCCGGCGCGGAGAGCGCGGTCAGCCGCGGGCCGAGGGCGTCTGGGCCTTTTTATTGAAGGCCAGCTGGGGCCGCGGCTCTCGGGCGCACGAGGGGCCCTGGGTGCCGCCACCGCCCAGGCCTGGAGTTAGGAAGCCCTGGGGGGGGGGCGGGGGGGCGGCCCCACTGCCTCTGTGGTTCGGGGCTCCAGGGGTGCTGGCCCCCACCCCCCGGGGCAGCCAAGGCAGGGAGGGTGCGCAGCGCTGGCAGCCGTCTGGCCCCTCCCCTGCCTGCCTTCCCCTGGGCCTGGGCAGGCTGCAGACCAGGGGTCCTCGGTCTCCGCCTCCCACGCCGGCCACCCCACCTCTGGCCCTGGGGCGCCCGGCTTACCCAGCGCAGTGACCCGTTTCCGCACCTGCCTGTAGGATTCCGCACGAGCAGGTGAAGACGCAAAGACAGTGCCTCAGCCGGGCCTCCGGGCACCGCAACAGGAGGGGGTGCTGCTCTTCCCAGTGGGGGGACCCTAGGTGGAGGGCCTAGGCCCCTCCCCTGTCTGGCCCAGCTCACATGAGCCTAGTGACACCCCTGAGCCCAGAGAGACTGCCTCGGGGTTCCCTGCAGCCCCCCTCTGCTGTGCTGGTGGTGGGCACCGGCGCACCCTGGAGCCCCTGGAGCCGGGCGATGAGCCGGCCGTCTGCCCACGTGCAGTGATGATGGGAGAGAGTCTGCTCCCCCCCCCCCGTGCACACCCACATCACACCACACACCCCGAAAAAGCCACCCAGGAGGGCCCCCACCTTCACAGTGAGGTTCTGCTGGGCAAGGGGAGGCCTCTGCTCCCCAAGCAGAATGTCTTTCTCAGACCTGGGGCCAGGCCGCGTGCCCGTGTGGGCCTGCCCACGGCTCGCTAAGCTGGGGAGGGGACGCAGGGGCGCCCAGCAGCACCTGGATGTCTGCGGGCAGGTGTGGGCATCGCTGCCCTGAGCCCAGCCGAGTGACCACGCGGGCGCAGCTCGGGGGCCACAGCCCTGGACGCCAGGGCACCTCTGGGCTCAGGCCGCAGCGCCAGTGCTGAGGCTGTTTGCAGGAAGCAAGTCCTAAATCTCTCCTGGAGCCTCTGTTTCCACCCACCTGTGCGGCCAGGGGCGGCTGTGCAGGACACCTGATGCCACCCACCCTGGCTGCGGCGCTCCCGGGGTGCTTCTCTTCCCGGGGTGCATCTCTTCCCGGGGTGCATCTCTTCCCGGGGTGCATCTCTTCTCGGGGTGCATCTCTTCCCGGGGTGCACTGCCCTTTGTCTGCAATGTGGGACTTGCTTTTTGCCCTGAGCCCACTTGGACAAAAGCCCTTCAGAGCCAACCAAAGCTGTCCCCGCGACAAACTCATACCATGGGGTGTCCCTGGGGTATATGCCGCATTTCGATGAAATTGCAATGATGGGGTGGCCCACCGTGATGCGGCGGGGTGGGAGAGCGCGGAGGGGCCTCTGGTGAGTCTCCTTTCTGTAGCTGTGACTTTGGAATCACACAGGGTTATGTTCTGCGTGATCATAAAAAATGAATTCAAGATCAATAGACGCCCCTAAAAAGTCACATGCAAAACCAGACAGATGCGCTGACTCGGGGTGAGGGGCGCCTCGGCAGCAGCAGGGCTGGCTCCAGGGGCCATGGCCAGCAGAGCACCCCCCAGGGGTGGGTCCAAGGCAAGCCCCGCAGCAGGACCAGTTTCGGTGGCTGCAGCCTCCGTGGGCGGGGGGGTTGCGCCTGGCGCCGGTCTGCTGACCTCCCGGGGACCAGGGTGTCCAGGCCAAAGGGGATCTGATGAGAGCGGCCCATGCCGCCCTGGCTGGGAACCCCGGTGCGAACTGCTGGTGTGTTTTCTCTCAAACGTCGTATTTGCAGGCCCGGCCACTGAATACACCCAGGCGCCTCCTTGGGGTGGGCTCCCCTCAAAGTAAGGTGCGAAGAGGCCCAGAGAAGGTCGGCACCCTAGTGCCAGAGCCCCAGGGCTCCCGGCCCACCCGAGGGGCCCTGCAGCAGACCGGCGCGAGACAGCATCCCCAGGACAGAGGCTGCCGCGGAGGCCCCGCTCCTAGCGTGAGCGCCCCGCTGCTGGCCTTGGGCTGATGCGAGGAAAGTGACTCAGTTTCTAAAAACCAGTAAATAAAGGGGTGGCATCGAGCACGCCCCCCTCTCTCGCTGACTGTCCTGCTCCAGGTCACTTCAGGTGCTGTCTGGAGCCGCTCCAGGGACACCAGCATCCGGTGGCCAACGTCCCCTCTGCTGGCTCAGCACAGAGTGAGGGGGCCTGCCCTCCCAAGTGACCTCCCTGCAGCTCCAGGGGCTCAGGCAGGCCGCTCGGACTGGCCAGATGGTAACATGGAGGAGCCCCGGGGGTCATGGTCACAGCCACACTCCTCCGCCTAACACACACACCCCTTCTAGGACCTGCCTGCAACCGCCCGCCCCAGATCCCCCCAAAGCTGCGTCCTCACGGACCGCGGGCCCGCCGGGGCTGTGGTCACTTGGCACCCGCCGCCAGTGTGGCCGCAGCCGGGCCCATGCTGCTTCCACGGTCCACGGCAGTTTGGGTTGTGCTCAGCTGGGTGGGCTTTGGTGGTCCCGCCGGTGCCGCCTGCTGCTTGTCACATGCCCTCAGCCTGAGACGGCCTGGGCCGCGCCTGGTGGGGAGGCTGACTCCAGGTCGACCTGCCCAGGGCCCAGCGGTCAGCGCTTGTCCAGTTCCTCTGCAGCTGGCCGCCATCCTCCTGGTGTCCTCGCGCTTGCTCTGAGTACTGCCTGCAGCTGTCTGCCTGACCCTTCTGCCTCCTTCTGGGTCGGGGAGGGCCCTGGAGGGGTCCGGGGAGATGTCAGCAAGGGGTAGAGACGAGAGGGTGTCATGGCACAAGACGGGGATGGGCCCGCCTACGGGCAACAGCGGCACTGGTGGCCCTGCTGTGGGCCTGTCTGCGTGGAAGCCCAGGGCTGAGCGACCAGCGCTGTCCCGGCTGCAGGTGAGTCAAAGTTGACCAGCCACCTGAGGAGGGCGGCTTCCCCTGGAGCTCAGGAGGACACCCCACCCTCTGGCAAGGGAGAGCGGGACTTTGAGGGGTGGTCCCATGCTCCTGCCCCCCTTCTCCCGCCCCCAGCTCTGTGCCCCCTATGAGCCCCACTGCCCCCAACGGCTGGACCCCGGCCAGGTAGACGCGGCAGCCCCGGCGACCAGCCTGCTGTGCGTGGCCCCACAGTGGAGCCCAGAGGTTGGCGCTCCCCTGGCAGAGGCCCTGTGGGGTGTGGTGCCCCCTGTGTGGGCCAACCCGGGAAGTCTCACCCGCAGAAGAAGCCGCACGTCTGGGTTTCCCCTGGAGCACCGGGGTCAAGAGGCGTTCCTAGGGGACACGTGCTGAGTGGCGTTTGCAAAAAATGAGGAGACAGCCAGCTAGGAGGCGCTCCCCAAAGCCCAGCAGGCTGACCGAGGAGCCACGGAACTGGGGGGCCACGGAACCCCAAAACCTAGGAAGAAGGAAACAAGGAACAAAACCAGTTGATGGGGCCAGGAAAGGGTGGGCTTATTTTTTTTTTATTGTTTTTAAAGATGTATTTATTTATGCATACAGGAGCTGGGGTACAGGCCAGAGGCGCAGGGGGTGAGCGGATTCACCAGAGACAGAGCGGGGAGCAGAACAGGCAGACTGACTGAAATACACTGCTGAGGGGAGCAGCGGGCGAGTCAGGAACCGTCTGTTGGCCGTGGGTTGCTCCAAGGCTGGCCAGGAATTGAACTCGGGCTGCAGGGGCTGCGGACAGCTTCATCGTTGCGTCTTCACCCTTGCGCCACCAGGGAGGCCCCTCTTCAGAAAACTTTTAATATGTAAGTTGAAAATTTAACTTAAAAAGGCCTGAATACCTAATTAATTAAATACAGGTTTGATCTAAGGAAACTTGGAATTAAACTTGTGTGTGAAAACTCTGATTGTATCTTGAATACAAAAATGCATCCACAAAATCTCCTGGGGAAACCCTTCTGGGGGTGAGGGGGCTTTCTCTTTTCTAGGATGATGGGGGTGGGGGGAGGGAGGGGGCTCGGCCCAGTCCCCGCAGGGTCACAACCCTCTTTG